TCTCTAAAGCTCCGTTTAGGTGCTACTTGTGTAGAAGCTTCAACCTTGGTCTTCTTTGGCGTGTCGGTTTTGGGTCTCACGGCGGGAGGGCTCTGGGTTGACTTGGGGGAGGCGGGGGAGTCTGGATGGCCCCCTCAAACCCGGGACCATGAGAAGGCATGGTTTGCGGGGCTCCGGCGGAGAGGGAGCAAAACACGTCCGATGACCACGGCGGCTAGACTCAGAGAGAGAGAAACCGAGAGAGAGAGGGAGAGAGACAGAGGCAGAGATAGAGTGAGAGTGAGAGTTAGAGTGAGAGAGAGAGAAAGAGAGAAAGAGAGAGAGAGAGACAGAGACAGAGACAGAGAGAGACAGAGACAGAGAGGGAGAGAGAGAGAGAGAGAGAGAGAGAGAGAGAGAGAGAGAGAGAGAGAGAGAGAGAGAGAGAGAGAGAGAGAGAGAGAGAGAAACCGAGAGAGAGAGGGAGAGAGACAGAGGCAGAGATAGAGTGAGAGTGAGAGTTAGAGTGAGAGAGAGAGAAAGAGAGAAAGAGAGAGAGAGAGACAGAGACAGAGACAGAGAGAGACAGAGACAGAGAGGGAGAGAGAGAGAGAGAGAGAGAGAGAGAGAGAGAGAGAGAGAGAGAGAGAGAGAGAGAGAGAGAGAGAGAGAGAGAGAGAGAGAGGGAGAGAGACAGAGAGAGAGAGTGAGAGTGAGAGAGAGAGAAATAGAGAAAGAGAGAGAGAGACAGAGAGAGAGTGAGAGAGAGAGAAATAGAGAAAGAGAGAGACAGAGACAGAGACAGAAACAGAGAGGAAGAGAGAGAGAGAGACAGAGACAGAGAGGGAGAGGGAGGGGAGAGAGAGAGAGAGAGAGAGAGAGAGAGAGAGAGAGAGAGAGAGAGAGAGAGAGAGAGAGAGAGAGAGAGAGAGAGAGAAAGAAAGAGAGAGAGTGAGTGAGAGAAAGAGAGAGAGAGTGAGAGAAAGAAAGAGAGTGAGAGAAAGAAAGAGAGAGAGTGAGAGAAAGAGAGAGTGTGAGAGAAAGTGAGAGAGAGAAAGAGAGGGAGAGGGAGAAAGAGAGAGAGTGAGAGAAAGAGAGAGAGAGTGATAGAGATAGAGAAAGAGAGGGAGAGAGAGTGAGAGAAAGAGTGATAGAAAGAGAGAGAGAGTGAGAGAGAGAAAGAGTGTGAGAGAGAGAGAGTGAGAGAAAGAGAGAGAGTGTGAGAGAAAGAGAGAGAGAGAGAGAGAGATCTTCTCCGGGCTTTCCTCCCTCATCCCTTCGGGATCGCCGGTGCGGATCACCATCCACTCTTTTCCGTTCCTCGCGTCTTCTTTCTTACTCTTCTTCTTTACTTTCAAGGTCTTCATGGACGCAATCATCCCATCTTCTTTTTCTGTCCGACCTTCACGCTCCTTACTCTCTTTCCTACATATCCCTCGTCTGTCCTCACTACGTATCCTAGCCATCTCAGCCTCGTTTCTCATAACTTGTTACTCATTTCTTCAATGCCGACTTCCTTTCGTATCACTTCGTTCCTTATTTTGTCCATCCTTGTCTTTCGTAGAGATTACATGAGCATCCTCATCTCCGCTACCTCCATCTTCTCTCCTGCTTCTTTGTCAGCCCCACCTTCTCCATTCCATACAACATGGCCGGCATCTTTCCCTTCACTTTAGGTGGTGCGTTATCATTGCACAAGATTACTTTCTGCCATGCTCCCCGACCTGCCTAAATTTTCTTCGTAACCTCCTTTTCGTCCCTCCATCCAGTATTCCTGTTGAATCAACAGGCTTTATTATTTGCTAATTTTGCTCACTCGCATACCCCGATCGTCCATAGCCGCTTTCCATTCTTCCAGTCTCTCTTCCGCCTATTCCTTCGTTTCAACACTCAACATTACATCATCAGCAAACAGCATATCCCATGGAGATTCTTTCTGTACACTCCCGTTAAAAAGTCTATCAAAATGGCAAACAGGAATGGGCCGAGTGCTTACACTTCGTGTAGACCAACTGTAACTTCAAAATTATCTGAGGTTCCCACTGCACATCACACCCTTGTTTTGCTGTTTAAGTACATGTCCTGTATGGGACGAATATACTTTTCATCCACCTCTTTCTGGCCTTCCCTGTACTTCTTGCCGCAAAATGGCGTTGGTGGTACTTTTGCCGGACAAAACTAAAACTAAATTATTGTTCTGATATTGACTTTCCCCTCATTCGCCTGTCTATGATTCCTTCCCACAACATCAGGGAATGTAAGGTCAGTTTTATTCCTCTGTAATTGCTACAATCCTGTATGTCCGACTTGTTTTCAATATAGGGATTAGTATGCTGCTTCTCCATTCTTCTGTCAAACAGTTTATCCCAGTGTTGTCTAAGACTTTACGTGCTTCTACTGGTATGCTGGACGTTCATTTATAACCAAATATGAATTTAGTACAAATAATATACAAGAATTACACACACAAGCAATGAGATCAGGGGGTGAACCTATGACGAGGGCAGGGTCATATGAAATA